CCACCCACCCCCCACGCACACCCCTAACTACCACCACCAGCACGTCCACTTGTTTTCCCTTCTGCCTGTTTAACAGGACTGAGTGAGAAACGGACGGCCCTTCTGATGCTCGGTCACGGGGAGAGAAGCTGCTGCGGATATCCGTCTCATACCTGCCTCACAACGGGCTCCTCTAGTCGCCGATTTTCCTCTTCCCCCACTGACCGTTTTTTGTGAAAGCGATATAAAAAAGATGCTGGTTTTGGTTTCGTAACAAGCTGCACCGGTAGCAGCGCGCGGAGGAAAATATATGTTTCCGAGGATGCGGATTTAACGGAAAGACGTTATGTGTGTTACCTGGGATTTGTAACCGTTAAAAACCGTTACATTCTGAATGAGCTTAGTCGCACGCATCGAGATATTTTACATGTCTGCTGAGATATCTCACACAGTGACGCGGTAGTAACAACATCGACAACAGAAGACAAAATAAGAGGTAAGCTTTATTTTTAATTGTGTATATTTATTATCCACCACCGGGCTACCGACTAATAACAAAGCTAATGACAGACTGTGATATTCAGGTGACTGCTGTTAGCTTCCCACGGCTACTAGCTGCACACTCAACGTTATTGTATCTCAGCTAAAGCCATTTTTTTGAAACTCTGAAAGAGATGATGGCTCAATTTAACTCATTTATAATTCTGGTTTTATCGCTGCCTGGTTGAGAAGTGTATGCTTTCTGAATGCAACGCTACGTTAGTTATTGGGAGCCATCGCTCTGAATGTGTGTCTTCTTGCCTTTGTCTAAACCGATGTCAAACGCAGCCACATTTTATCTGTAGAGCCAGCCTGTGGATCTCTGATTCAACATCTGCTGGTAAAAACAACCAAGCCTTGTTGCCTGCCTGCAAGGTTATCATTGCTTTCTCACCATGGTGTGGTATAGAGCTGGCGTTTTGTAAAGCTGCAGTTTTTGCTTTCGACATTGTGGTCTGGTTTATGTTATGATAGGAATGAGATTTATACTGCGTGCCCGGCCTAGACTGTGAGTCATGGCAGGGATGCATCAGGTAAAAGTGTGTATAAAAAGGTTTGCTTTCAATGAAAACATCGTTGAAACCAAGGCCAGTGAACACGTTGTTTTGAGGAGTGTACTTTTGCTACATGCCCATCAAGCGTTTTGTGGGTATTGAGAGCTGACATTTGCCGGCTACCACGTGTAGAACCATGTTTCATTGCCCAGAGACCCTAGCCCATTGAAACACATGTCATTGTGACAGAGAAGAAAACCACATGGGCGTGCATACTAATGGCATTACATTTTAAGTGCCATTCTGGATGAGCTGTTTGATATGTGAGGGTTTTGCATACAATAGATGGCAGATATCACATGATTAATGGTAGGTGATGTTTGGTTATATTCTATGATGCTCAACTTGTTTTGGTCCTTTTCTGAAATGCATAGGAGAAATCTGAAAAAGACAGCTAAAGTTCTGTAGGACCAAACTTTACAGGTGTT